ACTGTAAATCTATATATATATATATATATATATATATATATATTGAAGTGCTGTAATTCTAAAGTTGAACTCCAAGGTACAAATTATTCTAGCTCATTGAAATAAATAAAGGCAAAACTTTTTTTTTGTTTTTAGACAGTAAATGAAATAAAATCTCCACTTTTGGGTTGTCACCAGAACAGGAAGAGAAGCGGCAACTACTGATAGATACACTAATTCTGGTAAGTACGTAAATTTGATCCGGTATAAATCTTTTGTAGTCCCTTTAATCTCAGAATTTAGACTAGGAGAGGGAGGAGCATAAGACTAGGTTCACACATATGCAGGTCAGGGAACACATGATAATCGCACGCATTCGCTGACCTATGGGCAAAATGTGCTGCTCTTTTGGAGACGTGCGGGGGGTGCCATTCATTCATTTTGAAAAATGGGATGGGAAAATATCCTCTCTTTTGGTCCTCAAAAGCCATTCCCTTTTTAGGTAGTCAACTTCCTGCTTCCACCTCCAAACTGTATGACTTAGATTACAGACCCTTCTCAACAAATACAGCGCCTTGAAAAAGAAATTTTTCACATTTTGGCATGTTACAACCAAAAATGTAAATGTATTTTATTGGGATTTTATGTGATAGACCAACACAAAGTGGCACAAAATTGTGAAGTGGAAGGAAAATGAGAAATGTTTTTCAAAATGTTTTTACAAATAAATCTGTGAAAAGTGTGGCGTGCATTTGTATTCAGCCCCCCGGAGTTAATACTTTGTAGAACCACCTTTCACTGCAATTACAGCTGAAAGTCTTTTTGGGGATGTCTCTACCAGCTTTGCACATCTAGAGAGGGACATTTTTCCCCATTCTTCTTTGCAAAATCGCTCAAGCTCTGTCAGATTGGATGGAGAGCGTCTGTGAACAGCAATTTTCAAGTCTTGCCACAGATTCTCAATTGAATTTAGGTCTGCACTTTGATGGGGCCATTCTAACACATGAATATGCTCTGATCTTTGATTTGATCTGTAACATGACAAAATGTGGAAAATTTCAAGGGGTATGAATACGTTTTCAAGCCACTCTATATGTACCTCCAACTACTCCAAATGCATGAACTCTCGAAAGCAGGTAGGATAGCATCCCTAAAAATGTTCATGTCATATCTTACCTCAATACAGCGTACTTTCTCCTGGTATGTTTTGGGAAGGCAAACCACCAAGATGTCCACTCCAGGTTTTGCATTGACAAAGAACCAATGGTAGAATGGGACTTCCTAATGTGTTCCACTATTATAAAGCAGGTATTCTGGATCAAATTAAATCCTGGTGGAATCCCTCTTTCCACAAACTGTGGTCACAAATGGACTTTCCAAGATAGGACAGGATAGGGATAAGATCCCTACTTTACTAGCACTTATAATTGGACAACCCAACCCTACCTGAATAGAAATAGATAATGGGTTCAATTGAATGACTCAACACCACATCCCTAAATAATAATGAGAAAAAAAAGGATTAAATTTTGGTGCTAAAACCAGAATTTTTATTACAAAATCATATTAAAATAATTTGGATTTTTTGTGCAACCCCTAAAAAAACATTAATCATATCCAGAGCAAACCACAATCAGCTTAGCAACCCACAAGGCACCCCCTTCCCCATAACATCAATCAATGTAAATTACAACATGCAGCATTGAAATAAAGGTGAACAGGCATATAACCATGAAGGAGGTGCTGATGTCCCAACACGTTTCACAGTCTTAGCTTCTTCAGGGGTTCATGGAGTGCAATTGAGTATAGCTTGCATCACATGAAGCATATACATGTATTTTTGAGTTTATTCTGAGGGTGAAGGTTTAGCACCGTTCAAAATCCCATCCACGTTTCCTTTTGTTCTACCTCTGTATATCCCCAACTGTTATTTTCCTCAAAATGTGGTCAGAATTCCTGCTAAATTCACAAGCCTCTAAACACCAGACGCTCACATTACATATGGATATTTTACAACAATTCCTCCAATTTTCACCTCCAAACTTGGGAATCCAAAGGTATCGCCCTGCTACTCTGTTTATGACAGTCACACCCTATGCACCTTTAAGTCCCTCTGTAATAGATACAGTTTATCACCTTCTGACTATTGCTCTTTCTCTATACATATATGCCACTTCCTTGGTGAACATCCTTTCCATATTGAAATAAATGCCCATATCTACTCACCTCACATCTACTCATTCTCACCTAAAAGGCATCTCGCTCTTTTATAATCTGCTCAATGAACTGCAAATTTTTCTAAATCCAAGTCCATGCAAAAGTGGGAATCAGAACTAGGTACATCACATCCTGATTCTTCCTGGAAATTGGCATTTTCCACTACCTGCAAGACATCCCATTGTACCAACCATTGGGGGCTATGCCAGAAAATTGTACACCAATGGTACCTTACACCTTTCAAAATGTTACCCATCCCACTCCTTTATATGTTGGAGGAAACTTGGGGACACTGGCTCCTTATGCCATATACACTCACTGGCCTCTTTATTAGGTACACTTGTTCAATTGTTTTTTTAACACAAATTGCTAATCAGCCAATGACAAGGCAGCAACTCAATGCATTTAGGCATCTAGACGTGGTGAAGACGACTTGCTGAATTTCAAACTGAGCATCAGAATGGGGAACAAAGGGGATTTAAGTGACTTTGAACGTGGTATGGTTGTTGAAAAAATACTCAGACCAGCCCGTCTGGCACCAAAAACCATGTCATGTTCAAAGTCACTAAAATCCCCTTTCTTCCGCATTCTGATGCTCGGTTTAAACTTCAGTAAGCTGTCTTCACCACGTCTAGATGCCTAAATGCATTGAGCTGCTGCCATGTGATTGGCTGATTAGCAATTTGTGTTACCAAGCAACTGAACAGGTGTACCTAATAACGTGGCCGGTGAGTGCACTTTGGCACTGTAAATCTTTACATTCCTATTGGAGCAAGATCTTCAACTTAGCCTCTGATATTGTGGGGATACTGCTAGCCTCTCCTCCAAAACCGGGGCCAATGGTTGTAGGGGTCTGCGGGCAAGGGGCTTATTGGAATATGGAAGCCCTCTAACAAGGGGGCCCCAGATCCCGCCCCCCCCTCCCATGTGAATGAGTATGGAGTACATGGTACCGCTACCCATTCCCCAAAAAAAGCGTTGTGTAAAAATGACAGTAGACAGTCTTTGAGAAGTCCTTTATTAAAAACAAAAGTAAAAAAAATGTCCCCCAAAGTAGATCCAACATCAATCATGATGATTATCTGAGAGGCAGAAATTGCTCATTGCTCAAGGAACCCTTAGAAACCTCTGGAGCAAACCTTTTAAACAAAGGGCCAGTTTGCTGTCCTTCAGACTTTAGGGGGCCAGACTGTGGCCAGTGGCAGTAGAAAATGTCTTGGGGTCAGTGGGTGTAAACAATGCCCCAGCTTTGTTATTAAAGGGAGGAATAAGGCCCCAGTGTTGGTATCAGTGGGTGGAAGAGTGCCCCATCGCTGGTGTCAGTGGGAGGAATAGTGCCCCGTCATTGGTGTCAGTGGGAGGAATAGTGTCCTATCATTGGTGTCAGTGGGAGGAATACTACCCCATCGTTGGTGTCAGTGGGAGGAATAATGTCCCATCGTTGGTGTCAGTGGGAGGAATAGCATCTCATCATTGGTGTCAGTGGGAGGATTATCACCCCGTTGTTGTCACTGGGAGGAATACTGCCCCATTGTTGGAGTCAGTGGGAGGAATAGTGCCCCATCATTGGTGTCAGTGGGAGGATTAGTACCCCATCATTGGTGTCAGTAGAAGGAATAATGCTCCATTATTGGTGTCAGTGGAAGAAATAGTGCCCCATTATTAGTATCAGTGGGAGGAATAGTACCCCATCATTGCTGTCAGTGGGAGGAGTAGTGTCCCATCGTTACTGTCAGTGGGAGGAATTGTACCTCATCATTGGTGTCAGGGGGAGGAATAGAGCCCCATCCTTGCTGTCAGTGGGAAGAATAGTGCCTCGTTGTTGCTGTCAATTATAAGGAATACTGCCCAATCATTGGTGTCATTGGGAGGAATAAAGGCCCGATGTTGGTATCAATAGAAGAAATCATGCCCCATTGTTGGTGTCAGTGGGGGAATAGTGCATTTTATCAGAGGGAAGAGTAGTTCTCCATGGGCCTGGATAACGGTAAGAAAAGGGCCACATCTGGCCCTGGGGTTACAATTTGGAGACCACTGCTCTGGAGGAACCCTAGTTGAGAAAGCCTGCTATAGAGAATGTAACAGAAAGACCTAGAATGCTCAAAGTTGGTCAGGAACACCCAAATCTCTGAGATGGACATGAACAACTTTGAGCATTATGGCAGGGTGGTCTCACTCTTGAAGGATCCAAGACATATAAGGAGCCAGGGCCCCATCTACAACCAAAATACCACGTTTTTGGTGGACCAACTCTTGAAGTCAAGCAACAATCACCTGTTCGGCCTCACCTTAAAACTTTGCAGTGAAGGTGCTGAAAATATTATCGCTGAATCGCCCGCTCCTGCGTTTGCAAGGCTGCAATTAAACTCTAAACTGCTTACAACACAATGAAAGTCCATGCATCTTCCCGTTACCTGTTTATCTTTTCATTTCATGTTCAGAAATTAACTTATATATGCATTTTCTCCATTATTGGAAATTCCTTAATGTGTCCCCATTTGTATTTAGCTGCAGAAAAAAAGAGCTCGACATCAGTTAAAAATTAAAGATGATCCAAGAGATATTATTTGCTGCTGAATACCTTTATTATTTTCTCTTCCCTGTAGAATAATTTGCGGCACATTTAAATAAATAAATTTCATCTCAACAAAACGATTCAGCAGATTGGAAAGCCAGGTGCTGAAGTTTTGCCGTCTTCAGTATGTTTTATATGCTTGTTTTTCACGGGGGAGCGGCAATTAGGCAGCGACAGACCTGGGCAAAATAAATAAACCTTTCAAAGTGAAACTCTGCAGATTTCAAAGTGTCTTGTCTCCGGGATATCGGGGCAGCGCTGCCAGGCTGGGAAAGATGGCTATTTGTTTTTCTTGGGTGAAGAAAATCTCTTTATGTTCTGCGTCTTTGTCAAAGAGTTATCTTTAAAATGTTACTAAACCCCGAACCCTGCATCCACTATATCCGGTCTCCCCAGATCCTGCATTCACTATATCCGGTCTCCCCGGATCCTGCATTCACTATATCCGGTCTCCCCGAACCCTGCATTCACTATATCTGGTCTCCCCGGACCCTGCATTCACTATATCTGGTCTCCTCGGACCCTGCATTCACTATATCTGGTCTCCCCAGATCCTGCATTCACTATATCTGGTCTCCCCGGATCCTGCATGCACTATATCCGGTCTCCTCGGACCCTGCATTCACTATATCCAGTCTCCTCGGATCCTGCATTCACTATATCCGGTCTCCCAGGACCCTGCATTCACTATATCTGGTCTCCCCGAACCCTGCATTCACTATATCTGGTCTCCCCGGACCCTGCATCCACTATATCTGGTCTCCTCGGACCCTGCATTCACTATATCTGGTCTCCCCAGATCCTGCATTCACTATATCTGGTCTCCCCGGATCCTGCATGCACTATATCCAGTCTCCCCGGACCCTGCATTCACTATATCCGGTCTCCTCGGACCCTGCATTCACTATATCCAGTCTCCTCGGATCCTGCATTCACTATATCCGGTCTCCCAGGACGCTGCATTCACTATATCCAGTCTTCCAGGACCCTGCATTCACTATATCCAGTTTCCCAGGACCCTGCATTCACTATATCCAGTCTTCCAGGACCCTGCATTCACTATATCCAGTCTCCCAGGACCCTGCATTCACTATATCCAGTCTCCCAGGACACTGCATTCACTATATCCAGTCTCCCAGGACCCTGCATTCACTATATCCAGTCTTCCAGGACCCTGCATTCACTATATCCAGTCTCCCAGGACCCTGCATTCACTATATCCAGTCTCCCCGGATCCTGTATTCACTATATCCGGTCTTCCAGGACCCTGCATTCACTATATCCAGTCTCCCAGGACCCTGCATTCACTATAACTGGTCTCCCCGGATCCTGTATTCACTATATCTGGTCTCCCAGGACTCTGCATTCACTATATCCAGGGCAATCTGACAATAACTGACACTGGATGGGAACTGACACCACCAGTGACACTAATACAGTGATAATACTGTCACTGTACTAATGACAGGGGAAGGGGGTTAACATCTTGAGGTAATCAAGGGGTTAACTGTGTGCCTAACAAGTGTTAATGTGTGTTATGTGTTCTGCTTTTTACTTAAAATATATTTATTCTCATTTGTGCTGCGCAGGGAGAAGAAACAGAGCCCTGTGTTGTTTGTCAGAACAGGGCTCTGGGCCGTGATTGGATACAGCCAATTAGCCATGAATCATTGGCTGGAACCTGCTGATTAGACATAGCAGGAGTCGGTGGGGGAATCGGGGTGTCAGTGTGCTAAGAAGGGGGTGAGGCACACTGAGTCTGGAAGCAGGAAACGACATACAGGTACGTTGCTGTGCCTGTAGGAGCCGCCTGTCCGCAGTACAATGCAGCCAGGTGGGTGTGAAGTAGTTAATCCCTAAAAAAATATGGCTCCAGTGTGTATATAGTTAAAATGAAACTAAAAATAATCCATACACATCCACTAAATATTGGCCCTGTAATCAGTTTCATGGAATTATTGTTTCCCTCGCTTCAGATTGTTTGGAATGAGCAGTGCACATTAGTTGTCATATGCACACCACAAATCCCATAGTCTCAGGAGCTAGCAAGAGAGGGTGGCTATGTTCCTACATACAGAGGGATGGTGGAAAATTAACGTAGCCACCCTCTAACTTGCCACCTGGCCTATGGTCAAATGACGGCTGGGCAAACACCTCATCCCTCCAGGAGGGCATCATATGATGTCCTTCCCGGATCGCACTGTGGGCGTGGCCACAGGGCCACACTGTGGCGAGATCTGTCACTCGCTGTGTACCTCGGACACAGCCTATGACAGATCTGTGCACTGGCCCTGTTGCCAGTACCAATCACAGCAGGTCACATGACAGTTGTACACAATGGATGGCTTCCTTTCATGCCATCCATTGTATACAAGTGTGTCTAGCTGTGAATATTCACAGCGATCACATGCACAGGCTGGGCCAATCACAGCCCATCTGTGTCATGTGATTAGCCATGGCCAATCACAGCTAACCACAACAAAACAAACCCGAATGAATAAATTTCATTCAGTTAAATGCTTGCTTATAGCAAAGGAATTCTTTGCTATAAGCAATCAAATTGTGTAAAAAAAAACAAAATACAGATCACTTCCCCAAAGTAGTACAATGTTACAATGGAATATGCAATATGAGAAAAAAATCTTAAAAAAAGAGAAAAAATGTAATAAAAAATTAAAAAAAAAAATATAAAACAAAATTGAAAAATTGAAAAAAAAAAATATATATATAATTTTTTTTTGTACTGTCACCAGTCAGTGTCCCTGATCACTGCCACGCTAGTTGTATGTTGATGCTGTACTGCACTGGTGACAGTATGTAAAAAACAAATTGTGAAAATAATTTTTTCAATTTCTTCATTTTCCGAAAAATTATGACAAAAAAATTACAACTTTAAAAAACTCACTGTGCCTCTTATGAAGTATGTCGGACTGTCTGCTTTGAAAAAAGGGGTCATTTGGGGGATATCTGTACTGTCCTGACATTTGGGGGATATCTGTACTGTTCTGACATTTGGGGGATATTTGTACTGTTCTGACATTTGGGGGGATATCTGTACTGTCCTGACATTTGGGGGATATCTGTACTGTCCTGACATTTGGGGGGGATATCTGTACTGTCCTGACATTTGGGGGATATCTGTACTGTTCTGACATTCTTGGACCTCAAGAAATTAGATTAGCTGTCAGTACATCAGGATTGATCAATATTCAGATCTATACCATAGTTTGTGAACTCTATAACTTTCCTACAAACTAAATAATAAATACTGATTTGAGTTAATTTCAAATGTAGCAGAATACATCTTGGCCTACATTTATGAAGAACAATTATTTATTTGCAAACTTTTACAACAGAAACAAAAAAAAAACGTGTTTTTTTTCACAATTTCTGTCTCTTTTTGTTAATTTAGCAAACAAAAACCCCAGTGGTGATTAAATACCACCAAAAGAAAGCTCTAGTTGTGTGAACAAAATGATAAAATTTTAGTTTGGGTACAGTGTTGCATGACCGCACAATTGTCATTCAAAGTGTGAGAGCGCTGAAACCTGAAAATTGGTCTGGGCAGGAAGGGGGTAAAAGTGCCCGGTTTTGAAGTGGTTAAAAAAAAGAGGATTTTGGAGATCTGGAGGAGGCTCACAGCAATAGAAGGGACTTTTCTGAGTTAAGAAAACTATAAAGTGGAACATTATTCAGAATATTAAGTCCTGCTACATCACTTCAGGCTGGCCCCTTTTGCAGGAATAACTGTGTAAAACATTAAAAATAAGTCCCTATTCTGTATTAAATCCAGTAGTACACTGTCTCACCTTGCTCTGCACATGCTCAGTTGCTCTCTATTTTTTTTTAGCACTGTGCCGAATTTGTAAAGGCTAATCTGCTGACACCTAAAGATTTACTGCTGCTCAGGGGCTCTGGGCTTCAGCAAAATGGCTGCCTCCAGCAAGAAGAAACAGGAACAATGCTGAAGGCCATTTACAGCACACACTAATTTTAGTAGAATAATTATTAATGTGGAATGTATGTTCCGTGCTAAAAAAAAAAAAATTTTTTTTTATCAAGTTGCTATGGGTAAAGTTCCATTTTAAGTGTGGTTTAGGGTTTAAATTGACCACTTTTTTTGGGTTGTACACAAAGGTTTCACATGGGTCGTTCTGCCCAGAGTACAGTAAGGGAATATAGACGCTGTGAGGCCATATCAGAATCATTTACAAAGTTGATTATACCCAGTTATTAAGCTGTGATTAGCTCATCTCACACATTGTATGGTGCAAATACATCTTCTCTTTGTCTCATACAGTTTTATTGTCTACCCAGCACTCTTTAGGATGTAATTATTTTAATGCACTCTCGTGTCGTGTCAATGTGGGTAATTAAAGCATGTTTATGATGAATATCGGCCTTATTAGTCTCATTGTATAACCAATTACTGCAGTGTTTCCTAGTATGGTGGGTGAGAGACGCAATCGATCAAGGCCCTGATTTATCTGCCAATTAGAAAAGGGCTCATCTGCTAAACAGAACAGGAAGCGAAAGCCAATTTCTCTACCAGAACTGATCTGACAATATATATTTTAAAGCCTAATCCAGGTTATATTAGCAAAAAAAAAAAAAACAGGTTAAATTAGAGGAAAAAAAAAAATTGTCCCGAACAGTTAAAAAAAAAAAAGATTGCTGGCTGCAATACTGACCTCCTTCTGCAGCAGTACCTCTTGTCCGCCACAAGATGTCCTCAGTCCTCCGGATTAAATGACAGGGGTCCATTTTTATAAAAAATGCGCACAGCATTTCACCCAGGTAGATTCGTATGGGGCAGAAAACAAATGTTATTAGGCTAGTTTCTGTGCTGTTTGAATGTTTTTCACTGAATAAACCAGAAAATACTGCATTTAGCCACTAGATGGTGTCAAGCGTGTTTCTGGCAATAGGTCTCTGCTCACTCTCTCTGATGCTTATCACCATCTAGTGGACAAATGTGGTATTTCTGTTTTAAACCAGAACATACTACATTTGGCCACTAGATGGCGTCAAGCGTGTATCTGGCAATAGGTCTCTGCTCACTCTCTCTGATATTTACACTTATCACCATCTAGTAGACAAATGTGGTATTTCTGTTTGAAACCAGAACATACTGCATTTGGCCACTAGATGGCTTCAAGCGTGTTTCCGGCAATAGGTAGCTCTCTGCTCACTCTCTCTGATATTTACACTTATCGCCATCTAGTGGACAAATGTGGTATTTCTGTTTTAAACCAGACAATATTGCATTTGGCCACTAGATGGCTTCAAGTACATCTCTAGTGCCATGTAAATCTCTGCTCACTCTCTATGATATTTATACTTATGACCATCTAGTGCAGTGTTTCTCAACTTTTTTGCCTTCGAGGAATCTTTTACAAAAAGTAGGAGATCTCGGGGAACCCCTGAAAAACATTTTCAGATCCACAGCTCACAGAACATTGAATCTGATCAGCGAGCTGTAGATGAAGCACATGGCTGGATGAGGAGGTGGTATTCAGTTTATGGCAGTGCTGAATGCAGAGAGGGGGAGCTTGTGGCTGGATGAGACTGAATGTAGCAGGAGATGAGATCATAACTATATGTACAGTACATTTATGGCATAATAACAAAAAGCTAGTATCATCTCACATCCTGCTACATTCAGTGCGATCCAACTATGTGCTCCCGCTCCCTGCAGTCTACATCACTACTGTCATACACTGGATGTCACCTCTTGCTTCCTTATTGCCCCTCCTCCAGCACTCTAACCTCCCATACAGATCTCACCTCCCATGCAGATCTCAACTCCCATGCAGATCTCAACTCCCATGCAGATCTCTCTTCTGATGCAGATCTCGCCTCCCATGCAGATCTCCGCTGTCACAGAAAGCTGCCACCTCCTTCTTCAGCTCCCGCAGTCTGCACTACTCT